TGCCTCCGCCAGCTGGGCGACCATGGGACCGGTGTCCTGATTCACGAACTGGTTGAACTGGGCATTGTTCTGGGTAGCGTTGATCTGCTGATAGTTCGTCACGTCCTGGTTGATCGTCATTGATGGATCGAGGTGGACGTTCGCAACATGTTGGTTGAACTGATTCATGGACTGTGGCATAGGGTTTCCCCTTGCGAGATCGGTCTGGGGGTCGTACATGACGATATCACCATGCCGATGCCGATCTGATCCTACAGGAGAAGGAGATCGAGCACCAGACCGCCCAGCCCTCCCACGGTCACTCCGGGATCGAAGTGATTCGGGGCCCTGACTGCTCAGCGCTTGTCCCTTCCTGATGAGCTCCCTGGCCACTTGGGAGTTTGCTCGACTAGTCGGTTCATATTGCGAGGCGTCTTCATCGCCTGCTGGCTCACCAGGTGTGGGACGCACCTCGGTATGGGGTAGTCCAGGGTCGCCATCCATGGCGTACAACTCTGTACAAAGAGCCGCTTACGGCTGATAACCTATAGAACAGGTTAAACAACCGGGAAGGGTCACAATTGAACCCTGTACTCAGCGCGCTTTTTCCTTGAGCCACGTGCAGTCGTAATGATGAGACTGCACAAGTGAGACATGCATGCATTGGGGTTTACATGGTTGATAAATACATCACGTTGCAAACTACACTTCTACTTGCGACCTGTTTTCAGCACCCTGTGCGAAGACCGTCACAGGAAGGTGGCCTGCTGGTACTGTCCACTGGCTATGCCCGGAACTCCAGACCAATCGGATAGTTGAATGTGGCTTTCATCGCTTTGGACTATTCTGTACCAAGTTGCCTCGTCTATGTAGACGTTCGCGCCCCACCCAACATCTCGTCTTTGCCTGGCAGCATCCAGGCCAGTTGTGGTGTTGTCAATGTCACCTGCCAAAAGGAACTGGAAATAGAGGCGCTTGCTATGATTGCGACACCTCTTCCAGTAGAATATGTTTGACATGTCCAAGCCGTGAAACGACCACCCGCGCTTATCCCACAGTGGGGCATCTTCTCTCGCGCCGGAATGATAAAGGCATGTCTTCTTAAGACGGGGCATCCGAAACTCCCCAAAAGTGAGGACGAAGCAGTAGCGAAACTGGTCCGGTTGGCCCCGGCCTTGACTGCTCATTGACGATGGATGCCAAATAGGCGCGCCTGTGGAAGTAACATCTCGGCCAGACCTAGCTCTAGCTCCCCTGAAGCTAGCTTTTGGGTGCCTGTAAGGGAAAACAAAGGAAACTCAAAGGGCAAAAGGGGAAAAAGGCTAGTCAAGTCTGGCAAGGACAGGGGTTCCTCACAGCTTGCCCCCGTCTTGAAGGAGCAGATGTCCTTGCAACAAACCAACAAACGTGGAGGCCTTAACGATGGTACTGCCATAATCCAAGCCGAGTCACGTATTGTTTTGTCCTGGGCACGTTGCAGAAGCCGAGAGCATGTTTGTTGGCGCCAAAAACTGCCTGGGATTTGGGCTGAACATTGTCTTCTCGGGTAATCTAATTACCCTGAGATACGTGTCTGCAAAGTAATGCCCACGCCGGTGCGCAAAATGCAAGCCGCTCTGTCGCTTCTGTGCGTGTGCGCGCCAATTTTGGGTCCTACTGTGGCCTTTTCAGTCCCTTCTGACACCTGACAATCATTGATCAGCTCAAAGGCACAGTCCTTGCCACCTTTCAGTGAGACCGGTTGTGGCTCAAAAGGGTAATGCTGCACAAGGGCTGTCCAAGCTCAAACTTCAAACAAGTTACTCAAGCGGACACCCTGCACTCTAACGAATTTTGATTCTGGATTGATGTCATATATTTTGAGGAGGGTGTGCGTTTCAAGTTGGGATCTATTTCCACCAACAACTTTTGAGGGTTGCCCATTGAAATGAACAAAATGACTCTAAACATGGGGAGCGGCAGGCGCGCGCGGGCAAAACGCTCAGCTCAGGCCAGGGCGAAGCTTCATACGGCCCAGCCCCAGACCGCGGCGTGACTCGAGCTTCAGCAAAGGGTCCTGCGGAAGTTCGGTTTGAATTGAGGGGGGGGTTCAGAAACTGTTGGTTTTCCTTTTGGGTTCCCTTCCGGACTCCCCAAGAGGGTAGTGAGGCTCAACACAAGCCCGTGCACACTTGGCATTTGGTTGTCCTTTTGGGCCAGAAACACACAAAATCCTACAAGTAGCCTCCTGGACTCCTCTTGGACTTTCGGCGGGACCCTTCATGCCGGGCACTTGTCACTGGAAAGAAGCTTTTTGAGTGAATGGGCCAACAAGACCCAGGAGCTTGGTTGCTTGCCACTAAAATGGCCTCCCCAAACATATCAAGTCCAGGAACTGTGGGGCACCACACGAACATGCGAAGCTTCAGACTTCTTGGCATGAGCTCCGACAGGTTCCCGGTCCTGAATGTCCCAAGAGCCACTCGCCTGCAGGTAGTGGACTGTCCATTGCGGGTCCAATGTTTTGAGTTTTTGGGCTGGTGTTGAAAAAAAAACACGGAAAATCTCCTTTTGAGACATACCCAGAGCTTATCACAGCTTTCGTGCTTTGGATGGCGCACACATCTTTGACTCTTGTCTCCAAGCATGTCTGGGGGGCCTATCCCTGGATAAGTCTATCATAGTACGGCCTGATCTGGGTGCGAACTCGCAGAGTCTGGAAGAATTGAAAAGCTATCCATCCCCGTTTTGCTCTGGTAAGCAATCAGGGAGGCTTCCCAAAAAGACTCTCCCTCCCATAGCCCCGAGGATCCCTGGGCGCGGTACCCTGAGCCGCCGATGCTTCACGGCTTCCTCAGCGATCGACCGGGCTAGGATTAGGGCTCCAAAAGCTCGATCGGGACGAGAGTGGAATTTAGCGGGCTAAGCACAACTACTGACTACTGAAGCCCAACCTCTGGTACATCCAGTACAGTTTGGTGAACGGTAATGGTACAATTCCCCTCATGTTGGTTTAATCATCCCCTTCACGCAAAACACTATAAACATAAAGGGAGTTGTGCCATCTGCTTTCACCCTGCAAATGTATTGGTAGAAAACTAGTGGACATCAAACCTATTTCTACCCAAAGGTGGCTTCGCTTTGATACGGCTCGGGGGCAAGCCTGTGGCTTGGAGGTCCTCTGAAGTGAGAGTCCCAATTTGCCTTTCGAATCTTCCCCATGGCAGGATGCGATACGCAAGTGGGTGTTGCTCAAACTACTGGCTGTAGGGAATCCACAAATCCAAAAAGGGGCTCTATTTCGATACACCTCCCAATGCAATTCCTCTTTGGCGTGCACTTCCTCCCGCGAATAGAAGATACCTGGAGGGCATCTGGAAGATCAATTTCCCAGTTGCCCCAAGAGACATATGGCGTGGCAAAGCAGGCAGCGCGGGAAGTGTGGCAACGCGTGAGGGAAAGCTCGATATCTTGAAGGCGTGGTCAACTCTTCATATGAAGCTGCAGGCATCTTGACATGATTCTTTGAATCCGCAAAACTTATCGCAAATCCAAACTCAAACAAGGGACCACGAAAAGGACCTACGTCATGGCATTCTCTCGTTTTGCCCCCGAATCGGTGAGCTCAAAATCTCAAACTAACCGACATCCCATCAACAAACATCAGGACTCTGCAGACATCTGCGCATCTGAAATTGACCTCCTTTGAAAAATCATTCCAGTGCACAAGGGGGTTGGAAGACCGCACATCGATTCCACGTTCATGATTGTTGGAAGGAGTGTAGTTGAATTGCGCACTTCAATGATACATACACCTCACATCCACATTGCAACAAACATGATCCCACTTTGTCAGATATTTAACACTTGCTCATGACCTTCGCAGGGATGGAGGTCAATGCCCGACCAGTGGTTGAACATAAAGGGACCTCAGAAGCTGACGAATGAATGCGCCTCCCCCTTGAACATGTTCAGAATAGGCTTGTCCAACAGATCAAACCCGTAGCCACTCAAAGCGCTGCTTATGCAGTTTGGAAGCCCTCATAGCCACGGCCTTGACCCTCTGATTCTGTTTAAAGCTGAGCCGCTTTGTACTCGTTCATCAATGCCATGCGCACACGCAGAAACTCCTGGAAGTCCTCGCAATTGGCCACAGCTGAGAAAATCCATGGACAGGGAAACTAAAAGGAACACGAGGAATTGAACGTTCCCGTCTTTTGACGCACATCCCGAGGTGAGTGGAGATTGTTTTGGGGCCTTTCAGTCTTGCCATGGGCAGAACTCGTTTTGTGGGCCATGGGTGCAGCCCGCAGAAAGAAGCCTTGGAGCGACTGTCCGAAAACCAACCCATGAGCAGCCCTACCAAAGCCAATGTGTATGAGTTCAACCAGCTACCTTTGGTCGACATCGCTTATACGGGATTCATGTTCAACAGTCATGTTAAACAGCCATTTTTGAGGGTATCCCCACAATTCATCGCCACAGTACCCAGGCTTTCCAACAACCACGGAAGTGTGGACGGTCGGAGCTTTTACAACACTGACGTTTTGAACAGGTCCCTGATGTGGGCGGTCGGGACTTTCAAATTTACCGCGCAAATTCTGGGCCAAACAAACAGCGTCATTGCAGCCCTGATAATGACCATAATCATCTAGCAGTGGCGTAAGGATAGTTAAAGGTGATGAGCTTCGTATGGTTTCATTGCGAGTCGGCTCTGACTCAGCATCGGACAACTGAATGCTGCTTACCATCCATCAAGCAGCACAAGCACCTCAACGACCACAGCCACTCAAAGGCGTATATCACAACATGTGAGCAATCACAAGAGCGGTCGCCCCTACTTGTGGACGGGAATGGTCCCTGTCTCAATCATCCAGCTTTGTGTTTGGCTCATAAGCCACCTGAATGTACATGCAGGGGACATTTACACAATCCTAATTCACCCTCCTTTCCGGTCACTCTCCTTTTGCTTTTTTCTTCTCTCTCTCTCTCTCTCTCTCTCTCTCTCTCTCTCTCTCTCTCTCTCTCTCTTTGCACGTTTTGGTGATCCAGCGCACGCTTGTTTTCCTGTACGTTTGCTGATATGGCCCTCTCCACCGGCACCCCCTTCCGCAGAAGCCCGTCTGTACAGGAAAATGCCAGGTCTTCTTGCCTGGTCAGAAGCCACGGGCGAGGGATTAAGCTCTACAAGCCAATGCTCATAGAATCCAACACGGGGGGGGGATCAACTGTCTGTGCATACAACGTTGCAATCTTCCAACGAACTGTCCAAAACAGCACGGCTGGCGTCGTCAATTTTCTGGAACAGGCAGCATCCGCTCACTCAGCGGGGTGCTACCTCGCATGAGCTCAAAGCTGCAAACAAAGAAACAAGCAAGCAACCAACCAAAACAAGCAAAACAAAACAATCCAAACAAGCAACACATAAAATACATATAAACAAACAACAACAAAGACAAACAAAACAAGACAAACAAAGAAACCATCAATCAAACAATCAATCAAACAATCAAAAACAACCAAACAACCAACCAAACAACCAAGCCAAACCGAAGCAAGCCAAACCAACCACCAACCAAACCAACCACCAACCAAGCAACACAACACACACACAAACACAGCCACCACCAACCATCCAGCCAGCCAGCCAGCCAGCCAGCCAGCCAGCCAGCCAGCCAGCCAGCCAGCCAGCCAGCCAGCCAGCCAGCCAGCCAGCCAGCAAGCAAGCAAGCAAGCAAGCAAGCAAGCAAGCAAGCAGCACACACACAGTCAGCACACCCACACACAAGACACGCCCTGGCCTAATTCAACACTGAGAAAACAAACACTGCTTGGTCTAAGCAATGTTTACGCTCCCACCGACCAATATGAAACTTATCAGGAGGGTGCTTGAGGACGATGGGCCGAACCAGGGGTCAGTGAGGCCACATGCCGAGGTTCCTTTTGAAGGGAAGCCGAAAGGATATTGTGCAAGAAGGTTTGAATAAAGTGCCGGCGTTGCTAGTGACCCTGTGTCCAAAAGTTGCGTGACAGCACGGCTGGCTGCAGCTGCTTTCTTATTGGCTTTCGGCGTCGCTGCTTCCTATGCTGAATTAGCTTAACACTATTCGCCCATGGCACGCCACAGGTCGCAGCCAGCGCTTTTTCGCCACATATAGGCATCGTGTAGGATAGCATGTGCTGCCGCGCGTGTCCAGACAAGCCAAAAGCCATGCTGCACTATCTTGGCATGCAGGCTTTTCGGATGCGTAGCACTTTAGGTGCCTCCATGTTTGCTTCCATGGCAGGCATGTCACATGGAGAAACCTGCAGCTAAGGCAAGTCAAGGCAGCAGAGTGATGCTGGCAGGAACTGGGGGACAAAACAACTTCCGGAGCCTCGCAGCACACCAGGACGTTCAGAGGCAAGGCAAAGAGAACTCCATGCAAGAGAAGTCAGGAGGCTACTTGGACGCGGACGACCGACAATGTGAAGTCCAATAAGGGATCCCGCGCGGCACTGCAGTGCAAAGGTAGCAAACTGACAATATACTCAACGTCCACCACGAAGCAAAGTCCGAGCACGGCGTCAACAGGCAAGCAGTGTGAGCGACTGCCGCGGAGAAGCACAGGGCCAGCAAGCTGTCGGGACGGCGCATGGTTGACTGGGAGTGAATTTCCCTAACAACACCACGAGTAAAAGTTGCAAACAATGTTGGGTTGGCCCCACACCCCCCCCCCCCGCCCCCAACCCGCAGAACCGACTGTACGGGGCTCCCGCCCTCCAGGTCAATCCGACGTCAACATTGAGCTCGCTGGGTTGGGCCAATCAATCCGCTTGTTTCAGCTATGGTTTACGCAACCTCCTCCTGGTTGCCCTTCACGCCCTCAACAATTGGTCGTGTAAACGTAGTTGGGCACCCGAGCGAGCCTCAAGCACCTTGAAGAGCGCCCCTGGAGCTCCCTCACCCTCGGCTCGGCTCAGCAAATGGGCATGGACCAAATCCACACGCAGTTCGGATGGAACCCACGCGCTGAGTGCATAAGTTTGTCCATCCACAGCATAGCCGTGGCCTTCAACACACTACACGCTAGATACTACCAACAAGGAGGCTTACATGGTTTCTTAACAAATTGGCAACTGAACTTTTAGCGGTAGCAGACTCATAAACCCGGCTGTTCAATGACCCTGGCAGAAAGGAACTGGAACCCTGTTTGAGGTTGATTCCACACGTAAGCATGCACTACTGTAGAAGCGAGGTTCTGACAAATCTCATTTTGGGAAACAAACATGGAGCACCCAATGCAAGCCTGCAATGCCATCTGGAATGAGCCCAGAGCATCTGGAGCATCTGGTAGCCAAACCCTCGCAACACAGGATTGGAATCATTTTAATTTGGGGTTGATTTCTGTTCTAGTGTAACCCAAGCCCCCGTGCAAATGATTTACAAAACCCCGGACCCCGACAGTATTTGTTAAGATAACACCCAAATGGACTGTGGGGGTGCTTAAGTGTCTAGGGGTAACGTCCCCATTCTTTCCAGGCATCCTTCGTCCTCCAGGCGCCCACAATTCCCGTGCAAACGGCAGTTTACAGAAGAAGGATGGCTGAACAAAACACAACGAAAAAGGACACCCTTAGCAACTGGCTTAGGCTTCGCCAGACAAAGGGAACCAGGGGTTGGTGGTTGAAGCGAGTCTTGCACCCACCCCTGCCGGCGAAACAGGGCTCCCTATTTTTTTTGATTCAACGTCGCCCGGCCAAAAGGACAATCATCTAAATGGTCGCCCAAAGGTGGTGCTATTATATTTGTTTATGCAATGCTTTCTATATCGACCACAATACTAATCCATTATTATTAAATGGGTTGACAAGGGCACCTGACTGAATTAACCGCCCGACCCCGCTGACTGCGGGCGCCTTGGGGTCCTCTCGGTACTCCTCCGCCGCCTTCTGCAGGCGCTGCCGGCGCTCGGTGGCCGAGGCAAAGTGCACGCGCCGGCCGTGGCCCGGGAGGATCCACAGAAAGTCCTGGCGAATTGAGCGCTAACCTGCGAATTGGGTGCCAAAAACCCACTTGTTCAGTGAAGTGGCCAAAACATGTCTCCCCGCAGGTGGTGCTGTTGGGGCAAAGAAACTGCGACTATGGAGCACGCTTGGAGCATCAGAGCTATACAGGGGCGGTGTCGTGTGACAGCTGCTCGTTTTCTGCTTTCCAACTAAGGGTGCAAGCCATTAACATACCATCCTGAAAAATGATTAAGTGGTGGTTTAAAGGAACCTCATGTTATGAGCCCCTCATAATGCGTTCTTTAATGGATCCATATCAATCCTGATCAGGTGCAACTCGATTCTGGCGGAATGCTTTTGACAGGTCAAACCCCGCTGGATCATGATGCTTAGCCAACCTTAGCGATTCAGCACGAGCAAGGAGAAGCCAAAGCACGGGAGCCATGGCAGCAACAGTTCGTGACTAATAGCAGTCAAATCCCATCGAAATGGTGGACTAACGGGAAGACACTCCCCAACAGTAATTCTGAAAACCCAAAGTACAACCACTCTACGAGATCCAGTGGTACGTATGACTCTGACAGAGTATTGGATGGATGGCGGACTGATCTGCAAATTCCGCACTTTCTAAACCTGAAGTAAACAATCTCCAAGTAAAAGACCTTTATCATGGCGAGCGTGCTTACCTCCAACAGCTTGCCAACAAAACACAACTAATCCGCCGCCATCAGATTTCTGGCGTGCAACTCTCTTGCCTCGTCAGCGAGCTTCAGCATGGAATCTGCCTGCAGGTCGTGGTCCTGCGCACGAAAGATCCGTGCAAAAAGCTTCTTGGAGGCAACTAAGGCCTCCGCCGCCTCCGCCGTTCTCAGAACTTCAAGGGATTCCTAGAAAGCTCTGAGAAGCCTTGGGGGCAGAAGGGGTCTATACCACTCCAGAGTTCCACAATAGTTTCACTCTCAGGCACGTTGCCTAGGCTTTCGGTCTTGGCCCGTAGTTTTGTCCTGAGTAAATAGAAGTATAACACCCTTATGTTGTGGGTCTGCACGGCTTCATTAGAGTTCACTTTTTTATCGCCAGGTGAAGCACAACAAGCCGTTGGCCCAAACTACGTGGGGTCCTGACTCAGAAGCACCAAGGAACGCAACAAGGCAACAGGGCCTGGATTCAAGGCTGAAGCCGCCTCAAAGAGTAAATGCTTGTCAACCTCTGAGGCCCCTTCAGGCGAAATCACTAGACCTACAAACCGCGGATTCAATGGTTTACCACTTAAATTGTCCAAACCCAAGAAGTGGCTAAGGAAAGCAGGAAGTGAGAATCTCCTTCTGGAAGACTCCTTAGGGGTTCCCTGGGGCGTACTAACATAGCACAACCCAACAAAACATGTGTTCTTCCTTTTGGTCCCCCTTCAAACCAATCTGACAAGGTCGCCTTCGCCTCAGAAAACATACCCTGTCCAAAGGATCGGGAAATCAAAGGTTAACTTGGAACCTTGCGAAATTTGGACCAATGGGAAACCGTTGGTTTCCCGGACCTGGAAATAAAAGGCTCACCTGGAACCTTGAGATAAGTCAGGGAAACCAAAAGCTTCCCGGACCTGGAAATAAAAGGCTCACCTGGAACCTTGAGATAAGTCAGGGAAACCAAAAGCTTCCAAATTCGAAATGCTGCAAAGCTCGGCTTTGGACAACTGCGCCAATCAAAACCCCTCCGAAGCCCTCCGAACCCGTCGCTCTCCTCAGAGTAGCGGGCGAAGCCGTCCAGGCGGCCCAGGCGCCCGTTGAGCGCCAGGTGGTCGCCCGTGAAGGCGACGCCCTGGGGTTGACACCGGCGAAACTTGCCTCAAAAACCGGCAGCCTCTCAGTTTCCTATGGGTTTGCTATGGGTGTCTTATTGGTTTCTTATGGGTTTTCCATGGTTTCCTATGGGTTGTCCCTGATTTCTTATGGGGTTTCCATGGTTTGCTCCCTTTTTCTGGGGAAACAACCGGGGGGTGAGGGGGGGGGGGGCTGGAATCTGATAACAACTTGCTCAAACAACCAGACCCTGGTCCGGTAAGGGGGCAACGCAAGAGTTGGTTTAAACCATGATTTGATCTTCTGAGGGCAACTAAAGGTAATTCAAGGGAGGATATCTAAATTAAAACGAAAGCAGGTTGAATGGTCTGAACTAAAAGCTGATTTGTCCCCTGCCTCGCCCCCCGTGAAACCCTCCGCCGCGAGCAACGTGATGGAGCCCTCGCTGTGGCCTCCGCAGCTCCCCACAGGGCCCGGGGGGGAAGCAGCCAAGATGATTGAATAAGCCGTCAATCTGTTTGTTTACGTGTTGTGTGACGCGTGTGTCTGTCTGCGTCTGTAACTGCGTGTCTGTGTCCGCCCGTGTGTGTGTGTGTGTATGTCTGTATCTGTGCGTCTGTGTTGTGTTGTTTGGTTCTGCCGAGATTTGTTTGTGTGTGTATGCATCTATGTGACAGTGAGTACGCGTGTCTGTGATCTGTGTCTGCCTGTCGCTGTGTGCGTATGTGTGTGGGGCTGCAGGTGGCTCCCGAGCTGTGAACAGGTGATAGGCCAAGCAACCCCTGGGATCATCATTCCAATTCATCACATGATTTTTGTCAAAGACATGGCCCCTTTTTGGATCTTGGTGCCTTGCGCCGCCTTTCGGAGGGAAGTGCTGCCTTTCGGCAGGGAAGGGCAAACTTGACGATCCACATGCAAATCGCTTCTCTGATATGAACTATTGCTCCAGCCTGGCGTGTGGATGACACTCAGGCCATCTGCAAGTGACCAAGGCCCTTGTCCGGCTAACTGCCTCACTTGCAAGTGTTTGGAGACAATACGACATAGATGAAGGAGCAACTATGAACACAGAATGGCAAAGCCCAACTAAAATGTCCTGGGCAGGCAACGCACTGCAACTCCCACATTGGAATAAGGGAAGCCCTAGCGAACGTGCTTCATCACGGGTGAGCTTGCTTCAGCCCCAGGCGAGCTCGCGGAAACAAAACAGATACAAAACGGTCCATTCGCTTTTGGCGGCTGAGTTGCTCCTCAATCTCCGTCATGTCGATGTAGGGCCAAGCGTCTGGCCCTCGCACATCTGCCACATGCATCACGCGCCGCATCTCCGGAAACCGCTTCTTCCACTGGATGTGATCCGCCACATCATCCTGGCGGCGCGGGTTGGCCGGTTTGCCAATCCATTGTCCGGGGGCACTGGATTCAAACCTTGACAAGTTGCAACTGTGGCGGGGGGGGGGGTCCAGGCAAATCGCAAGCAGCCACTTTGGGAGGCAAGCAAAGCGAAAATGATTGACCCTTGATGGCCAAGTGACCATGGAACAAACAGGGAACCCTTTTTGGGAAGGATCATGTTCAGCGGGGATCCCCCCCAATAACGAATTTAGAGGGGCCGTGGAGCGTCTTGAGAAACGGTTTGGCCAGACTTAGGCCCCAAGCAAAAAGTGTACCTTCTGCTAATCCGAAGGCAAAATGAAGGAACCCATTGAAACCAACAGGGCAACAGGGCAAACAGGTGACTTAAACATGGCAACGGCACGGATCGCTTCGAAGCTTTGCGGCTCGACTAAGTCCTTGTGACTCAGTACCATGAAGTCGATCCCCCCAGCTTCTTCCAACAAGCTTGCCAACTTTGACGAGAAACGCGGGGAGTCGAACATGACGTTCAAAGCACCGCCTGCTGGGAGCAACAAAGGCTTAAACAAAAAGCAAACTCACACACACACATGTCCCCCTTTAAGGAGAAACCCAAAGGAGTTCGACTCAACAGCCTGGATTTTTGTTGCACAAGCAAACAGGAGTTGGGATAAGCCAACCCAGACCCTGCCTGCTCTGCCTGCCACAAAGTAGCTTGCTGCTCCGAAGCTCTTCTTGCTGTGATAGCCCAGGTGAAACACGTGCGGCAAACCATCGACATCCACAGCCAAAGGGAAGCTATCCAGCACCTCCGGAGTGTCTGGAGAGCTTCTGAAAATCGGAAAACGGGTGTCTCATACGGGCATATACAGTAGGGGGGGGGGGCCTACAATGAACACCAACACTCAATTTTCCTGGGCTATTTGGTACCCAATCCCAACCACAAACGTGACAGGCTGGTACCTTTGGGAAAATGGGCTTTTGGCCTCCGCGCGGGTGTCCATGGTAGTGGAAGGCTGCCAATCCTCTGTTGGTTCCCGTTTTGGAAAGACTCAAAGCTATGGGCTACCTCCCACCAACAAACACGAGAGACCGGACTGCCCGTCCGTGCACTTCCATTTTTGGTAGAAGGGTAATCATTCAAACACCAAAACTATGGACTCCCAATTGGTTCGCGTTCGGCTTCTTATTGGTTTCCTTTTGGACCATCATGCAGCGCCCAAACCTCCTTGGCTCTGGCAACCGGAGCTCTTGTGCGGATGCTGCCAGTAGGGCACGAGATCATGGCTTCCAGCGCTCGGTCAACTTCTTGGGTGTCACTGGGCTGCCTCACACACGACAGGAACAAGGAATGCAAACAATGCATGTTGTATATGTATATACGTTTGTGTGTGTGTGTGCCTGTATGTGAATGTGTGCGATTTGAGGGTACAGTGCTTCAGGTTGATAGAAGGAAAGCCAAACACATTTTTTGGAGGTCCCCTTACTTTCACATGTTTGCACATACCCTATCTTGATTTGACTGAAATCGCCTGTCAAGCCTTTGTCCCAACCTTTTGTCTTTGATGGACTACATTCGAGACAGCGTTCCAAATGTCCCAACTGTGGATTCCGGTGCCATTATAATGATGTGCTGCCTGTTAGCACTCGTTTGGCACTTTGCAGGAGGAATCACCAGGTGGGGCATCAAGCGCAAACCCTAGCAAGTGAACAGTTAACCTCCCCCACACTGACATGGATGTGTCCACCACCCCCAAACCACTACCGGCACACAAAAGTTGAATGGGACATACACAACCAGCATATTGCCACTACGTAGACGGTACATTTTAGGTTTTTCAGTGGGGGATGGAGGTTTGGGGGTAGTGGAAACATCTATTCGAGTGGAAGGTTGATTAAAACGAGGAGTAGAGGGAACTAGGTCTTCTGAAAGGCGTGGTGGGAGGGTAACCTTTTGAATCTTCACAAAACATGGACCAGACTGGAACGCCAAATGCAAAAAGGTCGATTTGCTTTGGCCAAAGCTGCTGGTGAACTACGGACTGGCCGGGGCCAGACCGAGCGGTGCGGCCGAAGGTTTGGGGTGCCATCCAGCGGCACGTGTCGCAATCGATGCAGGTGTGGTCCACATAGAAATTCCTTGGAAAGAACAACCGGGAACCTTGGACTACCCGCAAAACATGAAAATGTTGCACATCTTTAAGGTAGCGCCCAGGAAGATGCGCTGAGTAGCATGGAGCCCATGACCTTGATATCCCACCTCGAAAATCCCAGAACCAAATATCGCGAAACACATCGCGACAAAGCCAATGGCAAACGCAACACAAACGCCTTCCAAGCATCCCATCCACATTTCCGTGGTGCGGCTGCTTCTCAGGCTTCGCCCGTCGGGGAAGCCAACTTTTACGACTTCCAGTGCCCAGGTTCACAAATGCCAAGGGCCATGCTGCCAGAAGCAGCACCAGACCACTAGATCGTGCCATTGCGCCGTGGCACAAACAACGAGTGCCCCTCGCAAGAGAGCCTGGTACAAAGGTTAATGTTCACCCCAAATTCCGAATGAACATCAAGCAGGGGGAAGCCCCTAATTAGCAATCTTGGGTTCTCGTTACCCCCAAACATGGAAATGCACGGCTGCCTTTGCAAAAGGAAAGGTGTCGTCTTCAACCGGGGTTGTGCATCAAACCATATTGGGAGTGGAAGGGTGATGCCAGCGTCGAAACACATCGCAACTGCCTGCTAAGCCGACACTGCTAAGGGACACAGTCGCAACTGAAAGCTGGCTTTCATCACAAACATCACAACGGTTTTCACCAAATGAGGACCCCCACAACTCCAAATTCCGAATCATGCCTCTCAGGTTCTGTAAGTTCACCACTGTGTAGCGAACCACTCTACAGCACGACGTATTTCGATTCATTGATGATGTCACTTCCTGGGAGACGTGTGCAACTTTCCTGACGCACGCCTATCAACACACACACACACATCTGTGCATATTGCCTTTTTACACACACACACACCATATCGATATTATAGAGAGAGAGAACATCACCAAAGGACACAGTCCCAAGAAAGGCAATTGCAACCACATCCCCTCCTCCTGAGACCACCAGAGCTCATTTCTGAGGTCCTAGGCCGGGGGCTGACTCTTAGCTGCTCGGCAATGCTGGATGCCCATTGGCCGTGGGAAGCTTTGACACTTTGAGCTCCTCCTGATTTTGACGGGTTCGCCTTTTTGAGGGCGCCGCACCTTTTTCTGCAGACAAAACACCTGTGATGTTACACTTCTGGAGAACTAACCTTTTGGAGGGAAGCTGTGATTTGAGAAGGCACGTGGCTGAGGTCCAATCAAACATGGGCAGCGGCGCTAGAAATCATCAGATGGGGAGACTCATGAAGCAAAGCTTGTTGCTCGCTGGGCTCTGTTTGCCGTTCGGCTGACTCACAAAGGCCACAGCACTCATGCCGAGCTGCGGTGATCCCAAGATGGGGCACCTGCGGCCGACCGCCAAGGATTGAATAAAACAGAAACATACCCTGCACAACCATGGCCCGAACAAATGGTGGACACCTTGCCGAGGGCCACGTGCCCTCGCGGAGCCTCTGTGTTCGGTTTGGAGGGATCGCAAACTCGTTAGAAAACGGGCTCCATCGAATACACTTCTGGCCCCCCATGCGTCGATGACTGCTTCAATAGCAGCTGTGCGGGCGCATTCCGTTTGCGATGAAAAGCCTGTGCAACGCTACTGGGATGCGCTTACAACAGTTTGCTTAAGAAAAATACTGTAGTGCGTCAGGATTCGTCCAACGTTGTACCGCTTTTCCTGAAGACAAATACGCATTTGAGAGCAAGGTGCCAGCGTATTACACGAGTGGGAAAGGAGTCATAAAGCATGGTTGGATAGTCAAACTGCATAGACACTTCAGATTAATCTTGTCAACACACCCCAAAATCAGCCCTGGGCACTTCCATCACCGCACCTCTGACACGGAGACGGTGGCTTTGAAGGTGATTCGGCTCTGGCGCTCTTGCCTCGCGGGGATTGATCAGTCCCAGAAGGCCAACCCCTGCAGGGGACCGAGTTCTAATAAACAAATTGGTTCTGATCGCTTGCGCAAAGAGGCAATCATGCATGTACACACCCATTTGATAGAACCTATTTACGGTCTCCTAAACTCTGCGTGATGAAAGGAACACATTTTCCGGGGTTTAGAAACCTTTTCGTAGGCGCCCTCTGACTGGCAATTCCAGTTAAACTAAACTGAAGCCAGCTTTGTTCTATCTTTATTAAGCTGATATTGTTCCCAATGTGAAGAGACAAGGAATTTCATGTGCCCTCCCCAGGCAAACCTGGAAGATCGCCTGAATCCTTTACACGACTGAGTTCCAATGAGTTCCATTTACCGTGGCTTTCTGGGAGCTTCCATGTTAGGCTGAGGGAGGGTACCTGCGTGTTGTTTGCGCAAGGCGTGTGTAAGGATCAACCTTGAGCTCTGAGCGGCAGGCAGCTTCACTTCCAAGTTGTCAATGTCGAACCTTGGGCAGGGCTCGAGTCATGCAACCTTGTGCTATCACGTCAGAATGAAACTCACTCAAACCTGGCAAGCAAAAGGTTGTCAAGGCCATGAAAAAAGGCCCAAGGATCAGCCGAAACCGGCAAAGCCCAAAAAGGAAATGTAAGGACCCCTGTTGGCGGCTTGTCTGAGTTTCTGTAAAGAAAGGCACGCCACGACTTCCCAACTTCCCATTTGGCCAAAAAAATGGACTAAGGCCCTCTTGGAACCACCACAGAGCCAACAGCTGACAGCACTTGAAGCCGTGCTGGCTTCGCGTGCCAAATGCAAACAACCAGCCTGGTTCGTTTAGCGTGTGAGGCGCAAGCAACACCTCGTCTCAACAATTTCTAACTACCCAAAACCATGTAAAGCCTCTAAAACGTGTACATTTGGCAGATTTCCAATTCAACGTTGGGACCCGACTGGAGCCCCACCATGGGCCCGAACGGAAGCAATGCAAACGAAGAATTGCACTTCAAGAATCCAAGGCACGTCGTTCGCAGCGCTGACCCGTAGTGCGGGGAGTTTGCCCTGCCGAATCGGCAGATCCGACACGAAGCACATTACTTCCCTGCGAGTCAGGATGACTCACAACCACTTCAATGGATTGCTAGCCGCCAAGAGTAAATCGAGTTAAGCCGTGCCACTGCTCAAATCGGAGATGCTTTGGCAATTGGGTCTCTAGGTGCGCTTCCTTGCGCCAAGCAAAGCATTGGCAACGGCTGCGCCAGAGTAGCCCTGTGTCCTTCTGCATAATTCCATAAAACTAACTTGATGAATTCACCTGAGAAAATAATAGTAAACCAAACTGAAACCAGCTTGGTTCCATCTACGTTCAACAAAACTAGTCCAAATGACCTCCAGGGAAGTAAGTTTTTGAGATCACTCTCGCGCGCCTCGCGCGCCACATGCGATTTGGAATCGCCTGCAAGGCGCTGATAGCCGGCCGCGCGTAGCTCATAGCTCGTGCACACTCTTGTTTCCAACAAGCCGCTAATGAGGTCTGGACGAACTGCTAGAATTAGAACATGCCAACCTCAAACCAAAAATGTCCAAAAAGGTATCAAAAGGGATATTCACGAAATAATTGTTCGCCGTGATGCCAACCGAACAAATAAGGAAATCTCAAAACCTGATTCGCTGAATTCCTGCTCGGAAACGTAAACTACTCCCCTGCTTCACATACCGCGAAAACCATTGGGGGAATCTCCTCTTGAACCCTTAAAATGGGGGCGGGCTTCCTTCCGCTCATTTGTACTTGGGGAATGCGTTCAGGTTTCAAGGAGGACTTTCTTGCTTGGCCAAGAAAAAACCAAGTTGACGTGCCAAGAGATCGGGCCCTGAGCCACCGCCGCTGATTTCTGCCTCCCAGGTGATCTGTCCACTGCTTCGCAGGATGATGATCTTGAACTCACTGTTGAGGATCGCCTTGAGAATCTTGCTGCTAAGTAGGTGGGTCTGGAGGCGTCGACTGAAAATTAAAGAAACACATCCACTTTGGGTTTCCCTGTGCGTAAATCAACAATGACAATGGGCTATCTGGCACCCAGGAGCCTACAAAGGAAACCAAGGCCAAAGGCCACAACCCCCAACCATGCACACGGAGTCGACTTCACTGACAAGTTGTTTGCAAACCAAAAACGCCCGCCAAGAGCATGTGCCAGGCCAAATGCTAAAATAACCGTTGAGTCCAAGGCTTCGGATTCAGCAACCACATCACCCCTGGAGATGGTCTGAGACGGCTCTCAGGTTCTAAGAGGCTGACTGGCGACACGGAGGCAGCCTCCAGGCGGATAGGAAATCATAGGAAAACACTGGCAACACCATCAATGAGGTCAGGACCCATACAGGGAACAGGTCAGCGGACGTCTCCAGTCGAATCGCTTTACCTGAGCCGCACACTCGGTTTGCGTGTCAGGCCCCGAGCATTGAAGTGTGACATGTAGCCGACTTGCCCGAAAGAAACAGACACAAAACAAGACCAACAAAATGCGTGGACCATTGAGCTAAAACAGGTTTCCCTTCAAACGCTCAGCTTCGAGCGGTGTTGCAGTCTGGGAGGGTGAACAGTCCCGCATCCCCTGGCCTGCTAAGTCCTCATCATTCCAGAAAGGGAAGAGAACGAGAAGGAGGAAGATAAACAGAAAGAGAAGGGGCAGAAGAATTAGAAGGAGAAGAGAAAGGGAAGGACAAGGAGAAAAGAAGTAGAAAGAGAAACAGAGACAACATAATCGAAAGAAGAAAAGATACAAACAAGAAAGACCAACAAAAAGAAAGAGAAGGGAAAACATAAAGAGAAACAGACAAGGAGCCGAAGACCGACACAGAGACATGAAAAGAGAAAGATAAAGAGGAGCAGAAAGAAAACGAGAAAGAGGCACTGAAACAAAGAGCAAGAAAGGAGAAAGACAAAGAGACAAACAGCGAGAGAGTGAGAGAGAAAGACTCGGCTCTGCCGGACTTTACTGGTATTTCATTCACCTGAATTCAGGAATCCTGTGAGTGTCCCTTTGTCGCGGGTGAGCTGTCCTCATGCATGACTAACAACGCTTGTTGATGTTGCTGCTGTTGCAGTTGTTTCTGTCGTGGTCGTGGTCGTTGTGGTTGTGGTTGCGGCGGTGATTGATTGTTGGTTGCTGCCCGCTGGTCGTCAATCGTAACCGTAACCATATACGCATGCGACTTGAGGAATCTGAATGTCAGTACAAGTGTAGGCTTGCCTACGTGTTCACATGCAAATCTACTCGTGTTTCGTGTTTTTCAATCCAGTGCCCCTGAAAGCTGCCACCACAGCTCCAGGCAGCGGCCTTGGCATCGCCGGGGTGCTGGGCTCCCACAGGCCGAAGTCCGCAGAACCGCCGACCACTGCCAACCTCGGAGTGAAGCCCAGCGGATTTTGCGCTGACTAGAATCACTGGAAGGTGGCACCTTGGGCTGATAAAGTGAGCAAGTGAATGCACATATCTATATTCATAGACAATTATGGAC